GTCCATCATTGTCCATCAGTGTCCATCATTGTCCATCAGAGTCCATCATTGTCCATCAGAGTCCATCATTGTCCATCAGTGTCCCTCGGAGTCCATCAGTGTCCATCATTGTCCATCAGAGTCCATCATTGTCCATCAGAGTCCATCATTGTGCATCAGAGTCCATCATTGTCCATCAGTGTCCATCATTGTCCATCAGAGTCCATCATTGTCCATCAGAGTCCATCATTGTCCATCAGTGTCCCTCGGAGTCCATCAGAGTCCATCATTGTCCATCAGAGTCCATCATTGTGCATCAGAGTCCATCATTGTCCATCAGTGTCCATCATTGTCCATCAGAGTCCATCATTGTGCATCAGAGTCCATCATTGTCCATCAGTGTCCATCATTGTCCATCAGAGTCCATCATTGTCCATCAGAGTCCATCATTGTCCATCAGTGTCCCTCGGAGTCCATCAGAGTCCATCATTGTGCATCAGAGTCCATCATTGTCCATCAGTGTCCATCATTGTCCATCAGTGTCCATCATTGTCCATCAGTGTCCCTCGGAGTCCATCAGTGTCCATCATTGTCCATCAGAGTCCATCATTGTCCATCAGAGTCCATCATTGTCCATCAGTGTCCCTCGGAGTCCATCAGTGTCCATCATTGTCCATCAGAGTCCATCATTGTCCATCAGAGTCCATCATTGTCCATCAGTGTCCATCAGTGTCCATCAGAGTCCATCATTGTCCATCAGAGTCCATTGTTGTCCATCAGTGTCCCTCGGAGTCCATCAGAGTATCTGATCAAATTCTTTCAGTAACAGACTGCTGATGATAACCGTCTCATGTCCCACATAGAATCTTTATTCTAGTTTCCAATTTGTCTTGATTTGCTCGTGTTTTGAAAGGTGCCAACTACCCACGTAGATATATAGTTCTTAGATAATACTTCTCTGTAATGCTCATGAATTACTCTTCTCTTTTATTTGGGTTTTTTCTGACCAAACCTCTTTATGACTTGTGATATAATGTTTTATCTGAAGGAATCTATACCAATAATTTGATGGGAGGTTAATAAATTAATAAGATTAATAAAATTTGCACAGGCTTTATTGACAAACCAAATGTTCTATTTCTACGACAGCCGCTCTGAGAGATGAGCTTTTCTGAGGTTCTGACAGAGGAAAGGTGGTGGTTGCTCTGACTGTTCCTGCTGTGTTGAAAATGTTGATAAAAGAGGAGAAAAAGAATAAATAATATAATGATTCTGTATTCTGCTCTGAGATGAGGCGCATCTCCCTGCTCTTTACCTGCTTTGCTGTGTTTCTGGATCTGGTCAGCTGCTCTCTCAATGCATTTGATCAAAGACAGGCTAAAGTTTTACGATGTTGTCACTCAAGGATGTGGAAAACGTTTACATGTTTGGATTTATGACACTTAGATTTCTTCTGCTTGGATGTGGAGCATGCCTGATGTTTCTACAACTACAGAGGATGTCAGCGGCAATCGGAGCATTGATCGGGAACAGTGGACGCCACGTTCAATAAGGCTGTGAGCGAGCAGCTGAGCCGTATGCTGGGTGTGATGAACGCAGGCTGGCTGCGGTCGCTGAACTCAAAGGTGAGATGGGATAATATCTAGGATGTTCACATTCGCTTCAAGGAGGAAAAGCCCAACAGATTCAGAGTATTGGATTCGCCACGAGGAGCCCAGCAACAAACGACCACAAGGCTGATGGAAAATTCTGTGCAGCCTGCTCTATTTTGGATTTCAATCTCCCCCTTAATAAAACTCCCCTGGATGTATTGGAGGAAGGGCCCAGAACTACCAGCCCCTCCCCTACCTGCCGCCACCTGTGGATGCGTTCAGAACTGTAGCACCAGTTGATAAACTTATCGAGGAAAATGGCCTCTGGACAGCGTTCATGGCTCCTATCTTCCACAGGGATAAAAGCAGCGCCTTAAGGGGTCTGACTCATGGCCCCTTAAGGCGCAGGGGCCCCTGGCACACAGAGCCGCAGTCAATTGCTCCCCTGTCCCTGTTAAATTGGTTAAACGTTAAAGCACAGCTGTTTAAATTAGGATGAAAGGTGATTGCTATGAGGTTCTTACATCACAACAAACTAGCAAACGTGCTTTGATGGTGCAGTGGTTGTTGCACACGTCCCATAAATGGAGGCCTTACACCTCGAAGCGGGGGACCTGAGTTCCAATCCAGCTTTGGTCTTTTCCCGCATGTCTCTCCCCTCTCATCCCCCCTTTGCTGTCAGCCTACTCTCCATAAAAAAAAATAAAAAAAAGAGCCACTAGTCCTCTAAAACAAAAGACTTTGACAAACTTTATTGTCATTTTGTTAGGGGTTCGAGTCAATGAGTTTATACATATATACACTACTGTTCAAAAGTTTGGGCTCACATTGAAATGTCATTATTTTTGAAGGGAAAGCTCTGTACTTTTCAATGAAGATAACTTTAAACTAGTTTTAACTTTAAAGAAATACACTCTATAGATTGCTAATGTGGTAAATGACTATTCTAGCTGCAAATGTCTGGTTTTTGGTGAAATATCTACATAGGTGTATAGAGAACTATCACTCCAGTGTTCTAATGGTACAATGCGTTTGCTCATTGGCTCAGAAGGCTAATTGATGATTAGAAAACCCTTGTGCAATCATGTTCACACATCTGAAAACAGTTTAGCTCGTTACAGAAGCTACAAAACTGACCTTCCTTTGAGCAGATTGAGTTTCTGGAGCATCACATTTGTGGCGTCAATTAAATTAAAATTAAATGGCCAGAAAAAGAGAACTTTCATCTGAAACTCGACAGTCTATTCTTGTTCTTAGAAATGAAGGATATTCCATGCGAGGAATTTCTAAGAAATTAAAGATTTCCTACGACGGTGTGTACTACTCCCTTGAGAGGAGCACAAACAGGCTCCAACCAGAGTAGAAAAAGAAGTGGGAGGCCGCGTTGCACAACTGAGTGCCAAAGGTCTGCAATGCTAAAATTGCTGCAAATGAAGGATTCTTTAAAATATATATATGTAAATCAATATATATATATATATTGATACAGAGATTTGTGTTAAACTACATCTCTTCCTCCTGCTCTGCACCTTTAGATGAGTTTTTGTTCCTCTCAGAAATTCGGCGCTCTGCGCTCCTGGTTCTGATTGGTCTACTCCCTTAAGCCCGCCCTTTATCTGTGCACAGATCACAGATTAATGACCAGTTCAAGCTGGATGATTAAGCGATTTGACAGTCAGCTTGGTGGTAAAGCTGGTTCTGATTACTGTTAATGTGGACTGGTTAGACTGGGGGGAATCCCAGATGGTTGAGCGGGTTTCATGGAACGAGCCTCTGGCCTCTAGATCTGGTGCTCACGGTTGCCAATGGTCCCATATTTTGCACAAAAATATGTGTCAAAATACACTCAGGTTCAAGTCAAATGTTTTCAAAATCCTTTCACAGCAAAGTGCAAACAAAGATGAATTGTGGTGGTTAGGGTGGAAACCAGTGCCTGGCCAAGGAGTTGGCAGCCTTACTGGTGCCAGCAGCTTATGATAAGGAAGGAAATATTTCTGAAAACTGGTCTGATCACTGACAGAGATCTAAATGAAGACAGGAGAGTTCTCTCAGAACAAAATAAATGAATCTAAAAAGATCAATACTGCGTTGAATAAAGTTCTACGCAGGTTAAGGAGGGAAAGAGGAAAACAGGAACTGAAGATTGTTTTTTTAAAATCTTTTTTTATCTTGTTGTTTTAATCTCGTTTTGAGAGCAATGGAAAATAAAAAAAATGTGAAAAAACAAACGGGAATGCACGTTAAGAGGAAAGAGTGAAACTATTTCAAGCTTTTTGCTGACAGGAATTCAGCCAACAAACATCTTCTGTTGTTTTTGTTTGCAGTGATTCATCATTAGATGAACCAGTTCTGCTGTGGAAGGAAGTTATTTTCCAGACAGTTTACTTGTGTTTGTTAATGAGCGCCAAACCAGTCAGACTCTTTAAATTTGACGTATTTATTGTTACCCAGCAGACAATGTTTATACAAGCATCAGCTCTGCTGTAAACATTAGACAATTAGAACGCAGCTTCAGGCTGATTTTGGCCTGACTGGCTGTTTACCTCTGCCTGTCTGTTCAGCTCTGTTAATTAGAGAAGCAGGTGAACCTGCCGCTCTCCCAATCACCTTCATTCCTCTCAGTTGTTTCTCAGCCCATTTATAGTCGCCTCGCTCAGCTGTTCTTGTCTCTTTGCCTTGATGAGGATAATTTCAAGCAGGGATTTTTCTGCATCTAAAGACAATATGTAGGATTTTATATTTTTACTGTAGGATTATTCTATTAAATTCAGCAGTCTGCGTGTGTTAGCGGCTGACTGCCTTCCTTTAATGAAACCAGCTTGATCTGGGTGGATTATGAGAGGAGTGACTTTATCTAATGGTTTTGCTAAAGCTTTACACATTAATTAAGGATATGGGACGATAGCTGGTGGGAATCATAGGATCTTTGCCTGGCTTAAGCAGGAGACTAATAGTGGCAGAATTCATATTAACTAGAAATTTGCCAATAACTTGAGTTTCCTGCAGCATTCTGTGGAACGTTGGGGCCAGAATGTTCCAGAACTCTTAATAGAACTCAGTAGGGAACTAGAGCTGTACATATATTTCATTTATCACGGTGAAATGTTCTATACACTTTAATCAGGTGTCACAGGTTTTAAATCCACCTGTTGTGCATCTAATAAAGCCAAGGAGTGATCTTCTGATCCCTGAACAACTGACCATTAATATAAAGTTTGTCAACTGCTACTGTAGCTCTGATGCATTTACTGATATATTTCTTCGTGATTAGGATTAAGAATGGATCTAATATTTCCTTTGGAAACTGGTCATTAACGCTGAAATCTGTTCCTCTCAGCTCTCTGCCCTGACTCCTGACCTGCTCTTTCTGCTTGTAAAGCTCAAACTTAGCTAAGATCGGTCTAGGATGGGTTTTATCAGGCTTCTTACCTCCGAGCCGGTTAACGCGATGGCAGGTGATGTTTTTTACCTGATTCGCCGGGATTTTTAGCTTCTGCTGGAGGAACTCACGGATTGTCGCCTCGGGATCCTCCTCCTGCCGCTCATCAATTCCTGCGAAGACAAGATTGTCTCTCATGCTCCGCGACTGAAAGTCCAGAATGGATTCCTTAATCTTCTTATTTTCGCCGGACAGCTGGATCATCCCCTCAGTGAGTTCGGTGACCTTCCCCTTCAGCGCTTCGTTCTCAGCGGTAACGGAGGCTAGCTGCGCTTGGCTGTATTCCAGCTACTCTCAGAGAGCTTGAAACTCCTTATGCGGGACTCCTACCAAGGCGAGGCGAGCGTCTAGGCTAGTTAGCTTTTCATCGATGGATTCCAGGACATCGCTGAAGCTCCTGTCTGGAGACAAAGTAGAAGTAGAACTGGTTGAGCTAGATCGACATCGTTTAGTAGAAGGCATTGATGAGGATGCGGGATTCCTCGGCTCCCCATTACGATGTTGTCAAAACACTTGTCCTGGTAGCTCTCAAGGCTTGTCAAGGTCTCGTCTTTCAGTTCATTCCCTCGGAAAATAAGGGACAATAATTAAAGTTTAAACCTGCCTTTTTTTAAATTTACAATTATTGGCTTGTACTTACCTGAATGGATTTGTTTTGAATTACATGTATGTCGCCATTTTACTTAGGCCCCGTCCACACGAAGCCGAACCCTGGCCTAAACGCACAAATTTTTCACCAAACCAGCCTCTCATCCACACGAAGCCGGCGTTTCGGGGGTCTGTAAACGATCTTTTTTTTATTCAGCCTTCAGAGTGGGAAGATTTCGAAACGCCGTTTTCGCGTTTCCATCTTATGCTCTAACCGCATTTTTTTTTTACACGCATGCGTCATAGCGTCGCCTCTAAACACGCATGCGCGACACAGTATCACAACAACAATGGCGCCGTACTGTGTTGAATGGTTGCTGCTCATGCTACTCACCCTGCTGTCGGCCTTACAACAGAATCTTCTTCTTCTGGAATATCTCCAGGAAGAACAGAGCAATATCGACGACATAGTTCATCACCTGAATTTGACGGAACCACGAAAATGGACCCGCAGGGCAAACATGTATAAATATTACTGCGCATGCCCAACATTTCGTCGCTTATTTTTGCTTTGGCACCACAGCGCCACTTACAGGCCTGGCATACATTTTGCAGCGTTTTCATGCATTCATGTGGACGCTCACATTTATTTTACGTCTCCGTCTTTACGGCAAACGTTTTGGAAAATATCAGCGTTTCGTGTTCGTTTTGACTTCGTGTGGACGGGGCCTTACTCTCAGCTCTTGCGAGATCTTAGCTGCTCATTCCTGTAGTAAAACCTCCTTCTTCTAACGTCCGTCTCCAATTTCCAATTCCAATTTTACTAAATTAGTGAAAAGCTAATTTAATCACATCCCAAATTCTTCCAGATAAACTTTGGTTTTCAAACACAAAATCCACCTTAAACTGTAATGTAGTTTTCAACCATGTTTTCCTTCCTCTTTGTACAAAGTAGTTTAGTTAGTTTAGTTTTACTAGTCTTAGTTAAGAGACTTAAACTGAAATATGTTGACTTGGAGCTGAATAATTTTTGTTAAACTCTTATATTTTGAACAGAAGTTGTGGTGAATTTATTCCATTTATGTGCAGAATTAACTGTTTGACCACGATTAGAGCTTGAATCACTCTTTCATTTATTGTTCTAACACACAGTTAGTAGGGTGTGTGTTCATAAACAATATATAACAGCTGAAATTATATCTGATTAATAAGATATTTACCCCCCCTAGAGGGGAAGGAAATAAACATCTTAAAGTATTAGAAATATAAATTTCCAGCTGGCTGGGAATTGAATAGAACATTAATATGGCATCCAACATGGATGGGCATTGAACATAAAATCCCAACAGCTGGTCGCTGAGGCAAAAACTCTGGAGTTGGAAGAGTTCGGAGAGGCCATGGAGAAAGACTTCCGTACGGCTTTGAAGTGATTCTGGTCCACAATCCGGCCTCTCAAGAGGAGAAAGCAGTGCAGTACCAACACTATTTATACTGTGTTCCAACTACAGAGGAATCACACTCTTAAGCCTCGCTGGTAAGGTCTATTCTGGGGTTCAGGAAAGGAGGGTCCGTCGAGTAGTCGAATCTCAGATTCAGGAGGAGCAGTGTGGTTTTCATCCTGGCCGTGGAACACTGGATCAGCTCTACACCCTCAGCAGGATTCTGGAGGGTGCATGGGAGTTTTCCAACCAGTCTACATGTTTTGTGGATCTGGAGAAGGCATTCGACCGTGTCCCTCGGGGGGGGGGGGGGGGGGGGGGGGGGGGGGGGGGGTACTCCGGGAGTATGGAGTACCAGGCCCTTTAATAGGGGCTGTTAGGTCTCTGTATGACCGGTGTCAGAGCCTTGCCCGCATTGCTGGCAGTAAGTCGGACTCGTTTCCGGTGAGGGTTGGACTCCGCCAAGGTTGCCCTTTGTCAACGATTCTGTTCGTAACTTTTATGGACAGAATTTCTAGGCACAGCCAAGGTGTTGAGGGGATCTGTTTTGGTGTCCTTAGGATTGCGTCTGAGATGATGTGGTTCTATTAACTTCATCAGGGCATGATCTACAGATCTCATTCGAGTGGTTCACAGCAGAATGTGAAGTGGCCGGGATGAGGATCAGTGCCTCCAAATCGCCGGACCATGGTCTTGAGCCAGAAATGGGTGCAGTGCCTTCTCCGGGTCGGGGAGGATGTGCTGCCCCTAGTGAAAGAGTTTAAGAATCTTAGGGTCTTGTTCATGAATGAGGAGAAGATGGAACAGGAGATCAATAGGCGGATTGATCCGGCGTCTGCTGTGAAGCGTGCCCAGTACCGGTCTGTTGTGGTGAAGAGAGAGCTGAGCCAAAAAGCAAAGCTCTCGATTTACCGGTCGATCTACGTTCCTACCCTGAGCTTTGGGTCATGACCGAAATAACAAAATCCCAGATACAAGCAGCTGAAATGACTTTTCTTCGTAGCGTGCCTAGGCTCTCCCATAGAGATATTGTGAGGAGCTCAGTCACCCGGGGAGGACTAAAGGGCTGGTTATAGTCCCGCAGCAGTGTGTCGCAGTAAGCTTGTTGTGGGTATGACGCAGCCATCTTTGATTTATGTTTAATATTGAAGTGTGGTCTGTTTATTCCACCCCACAACGCAAAAGGGGAAAAGCACGAACTAGCTGTGGGTCTAGATACGGCCGAAGTGGGGGCCAGTTTGTGCGAAAACGGAGGAACATAAGGGCGAAAATGAGCGGGGATCCAGTTGGAAAAAAGGTCCCAGCGTTTTTGGGCACCTCGTTCTTTTATCTGGTCCAACTGCATGAGTCGTTTTCCACAACCGTGGTCATACAAACACAGCAAGCCGGTAAGGTTTAAACAGGAGACGCATAGTTTAGAGCGGATGTAGATTTGACCAATCAGATTCTTCCTGTCTGCTGTGCCATCTGTGGTGACCTACAATTTGGGAGAGGTGCAGCAGAGTGTCTGCGGAGGCGGCAGGGATGTCTCTGCGCCTACCGCGACACCCATGCAGAAGACCTAGTTTTGAAGTATAAATCCGCCTTAGGTCAGCTGGTCTCTCCATGCAAATGATCTCAATGCAAATGAGCTCTCTCTTCCTATCATCCCTTGTTGGATGATAGGAAGAGAGAGCTCAGAAAAGACAAGACACGGCAAAGAAGAGACAGAGCAGGGAGGAAAAGGAGCAGCAGGAAAATGCAACCATCTTTTTCAAGAGTCAGAACAGTGAGTCAAAGAGTTGTTTGAATCATGAGAAATCAAGCAGCAGCTGACATCCATCAGAGCAGTGCTGTCCAACCCTTAAATCCCACATAGTCTGTCTCCAGCTTTCCTTGGTGTTATTTTTACTTGGAGGTTTTTTTAGGAAAAAAAATGGAAGAAATTTCACATCCCTGCATCAGAGTGTTACCTGTTAGATCTATGAACGGTTTTCTATGCTTGCAACAAAACTAGCAGAGAAAGTGGAGTTTGGAGATGCAATCCACTCCTTAAATCTATTTTTTGCGCTCCTGTAATTTATCCAGAAGTTCTGCAATCACACTTTTTCTCTAAGTCCCAACTTTGTGATGCTGCATATTTAGCATGCCTTCCCTGGAAATGCCTTTCCAAATTACTCGTTAGTTTTTGACATTAGTAAACAAAAATGCAGTCAATCCTTCCGCATTGATAATGGAAACAAATGAGTCACTCCATTCTCCTTTGAATCTTCTGTTCTCATCAGCTATCTTCCTTTTTTCCCTCTGAGATTCATATACCTGCTGCTTTGTTTATCTGACACCAGGCTGTGCTGAAACGTGCTGTAGGCTATGACTCCTGTTCTCTATGGCTATTATGCAAAGAAATATTTACATGTATTGTTTACATTTATTTATCATACACATTTTACAGCATTGGAAAACAGTGAATGTTTGTCTGACCTCCTGCTCACCATATTACAACAAAAAATTTATACATTTTTGAAAAAAGGGGGTACTAAAGAGCCGCAGGTTGCCGACCCCTGGCCTGGGGCCTTCCCGAATTGGTAGCTACTTCCTCCCCTTACCAACTTCTCACACTGCCCATGGAGGGTAAGCCATATTAAGTCCCGCCTGAACTGATCATGTAAGCCCCAACACCCCTTTCAGAGGCATAGACAGGTATGTGGCATTACAGGCTAACAAAGAAGTCAAAGACGTTTCAATCTTCATGTTTTCTAAACAAAAACAAGGCTTCGTTCAACAATGAAACTCGAAAAACAAAGTCCAGTGGATTGCTTTTCAACTCTTTTGGAATAAGTGGACTGTTCCTTTAAAATAAAGTTTAAAAAATCTAGGCCTAATTAAATGTTTACGGTATGAGCATCATGTTTGTGTATCATGGCAACAGTAGCTGCCAGAGCTTGGACCGTTACCATGGTGATGAGTAATGCAACGAAAGACCTTCTAAGTCTGCCGTCTAAGGGACTCAGTTCAGCAGCCGGGGTGGGGGGGTGGGGGTGAGAGAGACCCTTAGTTTGGTTAAGTAATTTAATTGAATAGTTACTTTAATACATTTTATGGCATATTGTATTTTATATCTCAGTCTCAAATGTTTAGGTTCAAACCTTTTTTGGAAAATACAGTCTGTGCATCTTTGTTCTGTTTTGGATCATTAGTCATTTTTTTATTTCTGAAATGCCCCAGGACTTTTTTTTTTAGTTTGTATTTTTTTTAAATAAATGAACTGTTTTAAACTGAACTGATTTTTTTTTAATACAAAAATAAAACTGAATCTTTTTTAGTAGGATCGCTGCACTTGGGGTTTTCAATGGACCTGGACTGTAGCTCCATGGTTTCCACTCTAACGTGCCAAACTGGTGACCTGGGTTCAATCTCTGGTCCTAACAGTTCAGTTCAGAAGGTGCATTTCCTCAATTTCTTATCACCTTTTCATCTCTCCAGAAATACAAGCTATCTGCTTCCAAAGCTCTATTTTTATGCCTCTTAACTGCCAGTTGTTATGAAAAGGGGTTGGGAGGGTTAATTTCTACATTTTGCTTAAATCTTGCTGCTATATTTCCTCTTTCAAAAAGCTTGCTAAAAAAACATGTGGACAATGCATTTTCTGATCTGATTTTCATCTGATCTTTATGCGTTGTATCAAAAAAAAAAAAAAAACTGTTATCAGGGCCATCTCTGTGCTGTGGTTGGTGGAGAAATCTGACTGGAAGCAGCCAGTCATCGATAAAAGGCATTAAACAGTTGAAACAATTTTTTTCAATAATCTTACTGGTGAAGGTGAGGTATGAGATGGGCCTATAATTCTGCAGGATTTGTTTGTTCAAGCTTCTCTTTATCAACAATGGTTTGATAATTGCTGTTTTAAAGGCTTGGGGCGAAATAACTGACATGATGTATGTGTTAATGATTTGCTGAAGAAACTATGAGTCAATGTAATCAGCTGGTTTTGCTTAAATATAAAACTTTGAACATATCTGACTGGCTGGTCGGGTTGATCTGGATCTATAAAGTGACCTGAGATTATATGAAGTGAGTTGGAGCTAAATAAATAAGCTAAACAGAAAATCTACTAAACTGTCTTGTTACTATGAAATTTTCTAAGGTGGAAAAATATAATTATCTAAACAATATAATGATGAAAATCTTTTATTCAGGTTTATTAAAGTACAAAGTTCAAAATGAGTCATAAGACTGCGGGAACACCAAGCTGCTGTATCATAGTGGAAGTTCTGAACCAGTTAGTTTGTGTCTTCTATAAACAAGGACAGAAGAGGAAAAATGTTTATAAGAAAGAGAGACAGGAAAAACTGGCTTCTCAGAATGCAGCTGTTAAGACAGTAAGAGTGATTGTAGACTAGGTGTGGTAGCAGGTTGGATTGGACTGGACTTTCTGATAACTACAATAGGAGGGTGACATCATGAAGGGGATGGTTAAGAAGCCAGCTAACCTTTTTTTTCACTCTAGCCAATAAGATTTCAAAGAACTCTAAGCAGGGTTATACTCATTAGGTTTGAAAGTCTTAGAAATTGTATTGGTTTAAGAAATAACCCAGTATGAAGAGGAAGTAGAGATTCAGCTGAAGTGTGACATCAATTCTTTCAAAGCAATGTCACTTACCTTACAAAGTTTGAGACATCAAACTGCAAAAGCGGATTTTTATGACTTAGACATTAAGTCAAAAAAGAGCACAAAACAGGCTTAAATGGAGGTACTTTGGCTTAGTTTCTCTGAAGACACTTCCTCCCCCATCCAGGAGTCTTTATTCTGTCGGCTCCACTAGATCAATCTGTAGATGGAGCTCTGATGTATTTAAGCAGCAGTTAGGTTAATTCTCCTAAGAACATTCCAGTCAGATGCTAATCAAACAGCCGTTCCTTGTTCTCATGGATTGTTGGAGCCTTTTGTTTGTTTCATGATCAGAGGTCCTATATTTCTTTGGAATGAGTTTCAGGACTGAATTGTAAATGCTTGGAAGCTGAAACCTCAGTCCTCCCAAACTGATCATTGATGAATTTTCTCTTTTCATAAAGAAGGATTCCTTCACCCCTCTTTCACACCATCTGTCCTCTCTGTCCAAAATCTTAAGACTGGTCTTCAAAGGTGTGTCCTTTGTCCCTGAGGTCCTTTTTTCAAAGGTGCCTGATTCTTTGCACTTGGGCCTACATGCATGAATTAGTATGACAGAGAGATGGTCTGATGAACCGAGGTGGGGGCGGGGGGCTGCTCTGAATGCATCTTTGATGTTAGAGTAAACCAGGTCTAAACAGTTTCCAGATTGCAAAGTCTAGATGTTGGTAGAAATGAGGGAGAACAGTCTTCTAGTTAGCCTGGTTAAAATCCCCAGCAATGATGGAAACAGCCTCTGTGTGCAGATTGGAGCTCAGAGATTGCCTGGTATAGAGTCTTCATGGCCTCTTTAGTGTTAGCGCTGGGTGGTGGGGTGGGGGGTGGTGGGGGTGGGGGGGGGGGGGGGGGGGGGGGGGGGTGATGCTAACACTGAACTCTCTGGGCAGATAGAACGGCCTGCAGTTAACAGTCGAGAACTCTCTATGTCCTGGAGAGCAGAAGCTGGCGACTGATCCAGCATTTTAACACCAGCTGCTGTTTACATGCACCCCCCCCCCCCACCCCCCCCCCCCCCCCCCCCCCCCACCTTCTTTAATCTTACAGCTCAGGTCATTGTTTCAATCGGGGAGGTGTTGGGGGAGACCCTCCAGGCTAACAGCATTGTCCCGTATCGATGAATGAAGCCATGATTCAGTCAGGATGATGGTGCAGCAGTTACTAATCTCCTTATTTGAAGAGAGTTTGAGTCGTAGATGTTGAAGAGCAGGATTGATGGTAACAAAGGTCTGAGGGATTTCTTCTTAGCTTCGCCATTAGCACACCTCTGCAGCCCCGTTTACCCCATCGCACCCAGCACGGCCTGCTCCTTTGGTGTTTATGTCCATCCGAAGCACTCCACAGCTTTTAAACGGTCAAGAGTTTCTGTATTTAAGAGTCCAGAAACATCATTTTGTTACCGAAGCTCCAGCAGGCGCTGGCAGTCATAGACGCATAGATACTTTGAAGTGTTCTAATCGGCATATTTTGTGTATTTGTCTGGAGCTGCAGCAAGCCGCTGCCTTTAGGCGCTGCCATCTTAAAAAGAAAAAAAGAAAAATTGTGTTCAGAATTTCTCTGAAGGAGTAATCCCAAAGGATAAATGAAGTTGAGTCTAAGACAGAGAAGAATGAACCTAATTGCTGCTTAAATACATCAGAGCTTGGTTCTAGTGAAGCCAACAGAATAAAGACTCCTGGATGGGAGAGGAAACATCTTCAGAAAAACAGCCAAAGTCCAGTTGCCTTTGAATTTAAGTGTTTGTTTGTTGTGTTTGTCATGAAGACTAAGAATTTACAAACAATGAAATAAGGAGATTGCTGCGCATGTAGATTAAATGCTAAAAAAAACTTGATCTTAACTTTAATCAGGAATCAACTTTAAGTCCCACGTGTAGAAAAATGTTTCCTGTAAATATCAGACCCCTAACTGGGAGTCAACTTTAAACTCACAATATTTTTATTGATATTTATCTTTATTTGTTTATAATTATGTAAACAATATACACCATAAAACTCCCCAAACCAATCAGTTAATTTACAAGCACCACACCATGTTAAGAATTATCATTATAATGTCATTAGAATTATCTTTATCAAGCTATATTGTGCATAATAAGTGCATCGTCACAGTAATTCAGATTAAATGAACATATTTAACCAATCAGACTTCTGACATTAAAATTAATCTCTTTAATCAACAATCTCTTGATGTATTTTGCTTATGAACTTATTTCACTCTTCAACTTAAGCTACTTTTTCAACATATTGGTAAACTTTACAGCAGCAATAAAAAGCATTGACACTTTTTAAAACCTCCATTTTCACCAAGTTAAACAAGCAGAAAATCACATAAAATCAAAAAATCTAAGCTTTTAGTTAAACTCTTCTATCTTTTCCTCAGTTTGTCTTACAGCCAGAAAATTCACACATTATGTCTATCAACCCGAAAAACAAAAAACAACATGTGGGGAAGTGCTGAAACATTAAAATGTTTTCTTTTCTGTAAAACTGTCCAAACAGAGTCAGTTGTAATGGATGTAAGATCAGAAAGATCATCTCGAGAATCAGGCCACAGAAAAACTCTTTGAATATCTATAATCAGACAGAGATTCAGGAGATCTTTGTCCTCCATCATGGATTTAGGCATCTCTATGAAAAGAGAGGCAGAAATATGACAAAGTTGAGGAGATGGAAACACAAGGAGAAATGAGCCTGAGAGCTTCCGCTGGATGATGTACTGTTAGCGCTGGGCTCTGGGGATAAAAACGTCCCAAGTTTCTCAGTCAGGAAATTCTGATATCGACTGAGTTTGTTGAAGAGCATCACAGAATCCTCTCGATTTAGGACGGCGGAGGCGTTGGCTGGAAGCACCACTGCTGCCTGGAACCAAGCACCGTCCTGTTCACACATGAGTGGACCTCCAGAGTCACCCTGAGCGGGAAAAGAAAACATTTCCTCAGTACAACCTAAAAGTTCCACATCTGCAGACGGACACAGAGCAACCTGAACCCTGAAGTGGGAGGAACTCCGAGCTTCTGCTCATGGTCAGCCTGGTTCTGGTTCTGCTAAAATCTAACACTAGTTTATTGAATGTGACGATATTTGTGAAAATAAAGGAGGTCTGCTGCAGGTCTAACCTTTAAACAAAACTCCTGTCAAAGTTTTGGAAGTTCTAGAAGAATTTAACTTTATTGATCTCACTTTGGAGAATCTTACCTCTGCATTTAACCCCTCCCCTTGGGGAGCAGTGGGCTGCCATTGTGCGGCACCCAGGGAGTAATCAGGGGTTAAGGGTCTTGCTCAGGGAGCCAGAGCAGAGGCTGTGGAGATCGAACAAGGTACTACCAACCTTCCTAGAACACGAGTGCACTGCTCCAACCCACTAGGCCAACATGCCCCACTAGATATCTCCCCCTGAGCTGTAGCTCCATGCAGCTCCTCCAGAGCCACCATACTCCTCCTGATGAATGCACTTCTGGCCACTTCTTAGTCAGGGTGGCAGAATCAGGTCCTGGAGGACTGTGTCTCTGCTTTAACACACCTGAATCACAGTTGTTGGTCCTTAGCAGAGAACCTCTACTGCGCAGGTAACTGAACCGTAACTCAGATGTGTTGGATCAAGAAGATATCTGAAAGTTCTGGGATACCAGGTCTAGGTGGTCATCCATGTCCTGGAAGTTGGTCCATCCTCTCCATGTTCAGACAATGGATGGATCAGAGCTCTGAGGTCACTTCAGCTCAGATGGATATTATGGTGCAAACTGACTCTAAAATAAATGATAACATCTTAACTCACCTGCTGCAGAGGAAACTGCTCCGTACAAATGCTCTCATTTGAGGTCCTGTTACCACAGCTCTGGACCTGAGCTTTAAACACCTGCAGAACTTCTTCCTCTGGAACAGAGATAAATAAAACATCCCTGCAGCTATGTACCAGTCTTTATTTCTGATGAACCAATGTTTGTGTCTGGACTCACCTCCTCCTCTCCCAGAGCTCCACCCAGTTGCCCAGCATGTAGATCCGACTGGGAAGCTTCTGCCGTTGTCCAGGCAGATGGGCTGGATGTAGCTGCTTAGGGTTGGTTGGGTGGATAGTCGAAGCAATGCGACGTTGGGATCTGACAGGTTGCTCAGAGAGACCTCTGACACATTCAGAGACATCTCAAAAGGATTGGATCCATTCTGCCTCAGGCGACCCAACACCACCATCCACTCAGACACGTTGAGTGGACTGAGGAGAAAAGAGTGACTGAGTTGGACTGAAATTGTAAAATATCTAAGATGCTTAAACAACATCAGAGATTGGTCAAATCCATGAACTGGTAAAATAAAAACTGGCTAAAAATTAAGCAGAACAAGACATTCAGGGCCGGATTTATCAAGATCCAATTTTGCGTGCAGTAATTTGCGCTCGCAAACTGGAATTTTGCGCGAGGGGCTGAACCATGGTTTGCGGGTGATTTAACAAGAGCGATTGCGTAACTGGTGGCAGGCGCAAAACTGTTGGAGACGCCCTATTTAAATGATGGTTTTGCGCGTTTTGTGGTTTGCGGCATGGCAAGTTTGGACAGCAGAAAGCGCAAAAGGAAATTCGACCCCATGGAAATGGAGGTATTGGTGGATGAAGCCAACAAACATTTAAGTGAGCTACAGCAAAAAAGTGTGACTGTCACACAGAGGAATGCTATATGTGAAAAAATCTGTAATAAAGTAAAAGCTGTTGGTGAAACCTTGCGAACAGTGGATGAAGTAAAAAGAAGATACCAGTATATTAGAAGGCGAACCAAAGAAAAACTGGCATATAACAAAACATCTGCGAACAAAGCAGGAGGGGGCACAGTAGATGAGATGCCTCTGACCAGCATTGAGGAACAAGTACAGCTGACGCTCTGTGAGGAGCAAATCACTGGAATTGCAGCTCCAAAATGGCAATGCTGGATAAACGAAATGTTTTGATGATCGTTTCCTCGTTCATTCCAAAAATATTCACACGGAGTGAAAAAATGTGTTCTCTGCGTCTCCTTGCTTCATTTCCATGTCTCCTTCTTGCAGCAATAACCGCTGCCATGTGTGCGCAATTACGCATACAGACCATTTGCACCTTCTTTTGAAACGTGTTAAATATAGAGTCAGATACCGTTAGCAAAATTGCTTTCAGGTTTAATAAATCACTTTGCGAGTGCTAAATTAATATATTTACATGTTCTCCTCCCACAAGACGCACTTTTGCGTGTAAACGCCCCATATTGCATATTCATTGCAGAAAAAGTACTAAATGGATAAGAGGCGCTATTTAGCACGTTTTAAAGACCAAATCCTTTTAGCACGCTGTTGATAGATCAGTTTGTACATTTTTTAGCGTGCGCAGTGAAATAGCTCACGTTTTTATACACGCAAACCTTTGATAGATCCGGCCCTCTGTTGGATGATACACTATATTGCCAAAAGTATTTGCTCACCTGCCTTGACTCACATATGAGCTTAAGTGACATCCCGTTCCTAATCCATAGGGTTCAATATGACGTCGGTCCACCCTTTGCAGCTAGAACAGCTTCAACTCTTCTGGGAAGGCTGTCCACAAGGTTTAGGAGTGTGTTTATGGGAATTTTTGACCATTCTTCCAGAAGCGCATTTGTGAGGTCGCACACTGATGTTGGACGAGAAGGCCTGGCTCTCAGTCTCCGCTCTAATTCATCCCAAAGGTGTTCTATCGGGTTGAGGTCAGGACTCTGTGCAGGCCAGTCAAGTTCATCCACACCAGACTCTGTCATCCATGTCTTTATGGACCTTGCTTTGTGCACTGGTGCACAGTCATGTTGGAAGAGGAAGGGGCCAGCTCCAAACTGTTCCCACAAAGTTGGGAGCATGGAATTGTCCAAAATGTCTTGGTATGCTGAAGCATTCAGAGTTCCTTTCACTGGAACTAAGGGGCCAAGCCCAGCTCCTGAAAAACAACCCCACACCATAATCCCCCCTCCACCAAACTTTACACTTGGCACAATGCAGTCAGACAAGTACCGTTCTCCTGGCAACCGCCAAACCCAGACCCGTCCATCAGATTGCCAGATGGAGAAGCGCGATTCGTCACTCCAGAGAACGCGTCTCCACTGCTCTAGAGTCCAGTGGCGGCGTGCTTTACACCACCGCATCCGACGCTTTGCATTGCACTTGGTGATGTATGGCTTGGATGCAGCTGCTCGACCATGGAAACCCATTCCATGAAGCTCTCTGCGCACTGTTCTTGAGCTAATCTGAAGGCCACATGAAGTTTGGAGGTCTGTAGTGATTGACTCTGCAGAAAGTTGGCGACCTCTTCGCACTATGCGCGTCAGCATCCGCTGACCCTGCTCCGTCAGTTTACGTGGCCTACCACTTCGTGGCTGAGTTGCTGTCGTTCCCAAACACTTCCATTTTCTTATAATACAGCTGACAGTTGACTGTGGAATATTTAGGAGCGAGGAAATTTCACGACTGGATTTGTTGCACAGGTGGCATCCTATCACAGTTCCACGCTGGAATTCACTGAGCTCCTGAGAGCGACCCATTCTTTCACAAATGTTTGTAAAAACAGTCTGCATGCCTAGGTGCTTGAATTTATACACCTGTGGCCATGGAAGTGATTGGAACACCTGATTCCAATAATTTGGATGGGTGAGCAAATACTTTTGGCAATATAGTGTATGAACCCACAGAAAGCCTCCTCCTCATCATCAAATCCATCTCTCTATACACCTTCAATCGGCTACCTTTCCTAGTAGGAGTGTGATGCCTGTGGCTCAGTTCGGTGGGATACTGTGGCTTATGAAGGGGGTGTTTGGTTTAGATCTAGGCAGGTTTGCTCCTACTAGGGGGGCATTGGAAGCCCCTGGGTGGGACTTCTGGAGGCTGGTTACATGGTCTTTTGGGGTTATATCATGCTGGGGTGGATCTCGGGTGGGCTTGGGGAGACCTGGGGTCCATTGGGTGGCCTGCCCTTAGGTGGGGTCCCTGCTGGGGGTCTGGGGCTGGTTTCTGAATAACCCTATGCTCTCTCTTGGTTTCTGTGCAGTCGCTCTCCTACTGGAGCCCTAAATTCCCTGTTTGCCTTCTTTTAGTGTCCTGTCAGTCAGTTCTAGTTATTTCCATGATTCATGTCCCTGTTTCCAGAACGAGATTCTTTTTCAACCCAGTGTCTTCAGGCTAGTTTAATCCTTAACCAGTGGTTTCAACCAGTTTCAGCATTTCCCGAGTGATTCTGTTTTCCTGATTCTATTCCCTCTCACCCACTGTCTATCCCTGCCTGATCTGCCCGCCTGAACCATGGTTGGACTGCTGTTGGATTCTGCCTGTCTGTGTGTTTCTGTCTGAGCTGGACGCTCGACGCACGGGACTCTGAACCTGCCTTCATGCTCTGATGGATTCCTGGAACCCAGATCTGTCCATTCCTGAGTGGACTAATCCGTTAAACCAGAGTGTCAGTGATTGGGCGGTGCCCCGCCCCCTTCCTGCAGCCGCAGGAGCCGCACATCCACAGCAGCATGCTTCTGTTTTGTTCTGGGTTTTTGTAATAAATGTTTTGAACCTTCCTACTGGCTTTCTCACCTTGAATATTGGGTCCATTTGTCCCGTTTTATGACAGAAAAGATCTTTTAAGGTCTGATCACTGTTAAAAAGCACAGAACAAGACTGACCATTAAGGAGTTCATTTTGACAAGTTTGGAAGGAAACCTATGAGTCATTCATGGGCCCTGGAACAGCCATGGCTATGGCCATCAATGACCTTCCTGTGTTTGGGAGGCCTTCCAGTTTCCAATGGCTTTCAAATAATCTTTGTTGCATCATATCAGAGCCGCGATCTGACGATCTACCTCTTGAATAATCAGTCATGAAACAGGCACCCAATGTGATTTGAGGCAGGAAACAAGCCAACCTAACCTTGCATGGTCCAAGGGTCCCCAACGCCAAGTCTGGACCTAAAATGGTTACATCCAGACCGCAAAGCATTTACTCCTGTAGCAAAACATAAATGTTCTTCTTTCCAGCTGTGTACAGCTATGTCAGTTTGACTTGGTCAACACCTGGTGGCGGTAATGCACCTCAAATTGCATCTTAAATTCCTGACAACAGTGACGAAGACATGCCCCAAGTCCTCTACGGCAGGTTGTAAAGTTTCCAGCTCGTGACTTTCCCACAGCACACCAACCTGGTGGCGTAGAGATGAGTGGCTTTGTCAAAGGTTCAGAAATCTGACTTTGAAAAACATGCATTTAGAGATAAATGGACAGGAGGATTTGCAATGGTCTGACCTGCATCCAGTCTAAGGTCAGTCTGTCTTATATGTTCTGAATCAGCTGAGTGCAAATTTAAAGAGACGTTATGATGACATCAGTCTCTTTGGTGCTTAAACTGAATTTCACTTTACTGTTCAACTGATTTTTCAACAGGTCAGTTTCATATAAAAGTATTTTTGTCTTTGGACCTCAGATTGTTTGCATGATTAAGGTACTGGACTTCTTTCAGTTGGGGGCCCCTGATAGAGATAAAAGCTGAACGTCGAATCCATTCATTAAAACAGTCTGAACTGAGCAAAACCTATGAGGATCTTCTGTAAGTCACCTTGAGAAGCAGTCAGCACTGCTCAGAACATAGTCCATCGACACCAGGGTTCCTCCACACACATGCTGTCCATTCTTTAGCAGGCTTGCCATGAAGGGCCACTGACCAGCTGTCGCCACAGAACTGCCATCCAACCCAGAATTCAATGGGGCCCGGCCACAATACAAGGCTGGGAATTAAGACAACAGATTCACATTTAATTTTCTACGCCTTTCATCAAAGTCAGCTTGAATGAAATTAGAAATGAATAAATGCGGGGACATGGGGGCTTACGTGGTTCGGGGGTCGTGACTGGTGGCACACCGCTGCAGGAGATGCTGAGGTCACTGTCCGTGCCAGGAGACGTGAAAGTGACGAATCCCGGCTGGTTGCTGCTGATTTGGGCTTTGATCCAGGCTTCATACTGGGAGACTCTTGCATAGACTCCCGGGTAATCCGGCAGAGCACAGCCAAAACCAAAACTCACAATTCCGGACTGAATCCAGCGGCCATTTTGTTTGCTCACCATTGGCCCCCCTGAGTCCCCCTTGAAAAGCAGAAACATTTCAGTTTGAGTAGATTAAACAAGGAAGGTGTCTTTAAACAGTTTAAGATCATCACCTGACACGAGTCCTTTCCACCTTCCAGGAGTCCTGCACAGATCATGTTGTCATTGATGGTGCTCACTTCATAGTTGCTACATTTACACCGCCTGTTTCCAATGACTGGCACCTCCACCTCCATCAGGTTTTGAGGAAAAGGAAGAGGGTCTGAAGACACACAAATCCAGGTAAAGGTACAGTCCTTTCAAAATGTTTCCTCACCAGGAACAAGAGAGACGGTTCACACCTTTGGTTAGGAATATTTCCTTAACTGTATGTATAGCATCAAGTTCAGCATAGCTTTTCACTGCTACTGGTACATTGGGGGGGTTCAAGGACTGTGTGGAAAGAAACCCTTGATCCAGGAACTTCAACCTAGCAGTTTCTAAGAGGTTTATCCATGGTACTCACTCTGTGCTGCCCTGCCCTGTACTTTCAGCACTTGGAAAAACCTGTCGTATAAAAACTTGCCATCAGATCCAACGTTCCCCCAGCCGGTGACCCAGGAGTCCGTGCCGCTGTAGAAGGTGCTGTCAGAGGCCGCCAGGCAGATGGGTGAGATGTAGCTGGTGAAAGTAACGGCTGAGGAGAGCCTCATTAGAGCAACGTCATTGTTGTTGGTCTGATCGTTGTAGTCTGGATGAACAATGATCGTCGCTACTGTCCGTCTGACTTCATTAGGATTGGATCCCTGCTGACTCTGACGGCCCAGATAGACTGTGATACCGGTTGGATTTCCACTGAGGTCATCATGTAAGGAGACAAAGAAGGCACGGCATAGATTGTAAAGTAAAGCAGTCTTTTCAAACCCAACGGGCTGAATTAGCTGAAACATTATGAAAACTTATGAAATACTTTTTATAAAACAGTCTGCTGCTGGTGAACTACACTAACCTGCTGAATTATTAGGTATAGTTGTGCAACTGCTTGTTAATGCAAAGTCCTGTTCAGCTAATCCTGTTGCTGAATGTAGACGATGTGCTGATAATTTGATGCTTTTTCCATTTTCTCTGTTAAACAGCTTCTTTGACGTCATCATGATCAGAGCAGTAAATCTGATTAAATCATGTTTATCTGCATTATAGTTGTTTCTTTCTTTAGATCACGCGCTATATAGCATAATGTTAACATGAAAGTAAAACATTAAACTCAAAAAGACTAGATTTCTGTTTAAATCCAAAGCTGATAAAGTTAGCTCCTGGAAGTAGCGTAGCATCCCATTTCCTACAGATCAGGAACAGAGGATGAAACAGGAAGGATTTAAATGCTTTTATTTCATCAGTAAATACATTATTATCCTTTAACACATTATAGTTTAGTACGCTTATTAGTTTTAGGGAGGGAAAAACATAAATTATGTCTTATTAAGAAAATAAAATTGACCCAGATGTTCGTTTGATGATGAGCTGATGGGACGGATCGGGAAGTGAAAGGCGGTGATGTATTATTTCACTTTTAATTTCTGAAAATTTGTTCCAGTTTTTGCAACCTTTGCTTTATGCTTGTAAAAATGTTGGATGTTAGGTTATAATCGTTTTATAAACAGACCTTTTGAAACTAAAAATAAACATGTTTCCACATTTTCTGTGCTCAATATGCTGGGTTTGGGCTGATGTTCACAGCTGAATCATAAATTTACAAATATTTCTCCGTTCTTTATGGAATAAAAAGAAATTAAACTTTAAACATAAAAATAGTTATTCAAAAAAAAGTTAAATTACTGAACAATAAATAGTAAAACGAGGATTTTATGTGCAAATTCACTCTGATTTCTTTGTGAATTGACTGTTTTAATTGGAAATAGCTGCATTTAGTGTTATATCCTAGGTTAGCCATGTCAGCAGGGCCGCTGTCCTGCAGCTTTCAGAGGTTTCCTGCTTCAGCACAGCTGAATGTGATGATTAAAGTTCAGCAAAAGTCTGTTAATCAGCTGTCAATGAAAATCAGATGTGCTGAAAACCTGCAGGATGCCGACTCTGGAGGACCCTAGATGGTAACATTCATCAACATTTGATTTATTTTATTTTATATCAGCATCTCTGGAGTGAAACTGCATGTGAAGATGATGAGAAGTTCTCAGGAATTGAACCAGCAGCACGTGGGCTACTTTCTATGTTGCGTATTTCAAATTTGGTTATTAGCAAAGAGATGATATTTTAAAATTTAATAAAAGCTTTGATTTAAATTAATAATTAGAGGAGCCATCCTGAAACCAGGGACTAACTGAGATATGCTGCAGCCTCATAATGAACGGTGGAGGAGTGAGAATCTGAGCACCGAACCTTAAGGAGGCCAGCATGTGAGCAAACACCCAGTTATTAATAATTAAAACTGGATAAACAAGAGGCCTGATCTACAACAAAGAGTAAAAGCTGTCTGTGAGGCGCATAGAAAGAATGTTTCCCTCTTATCTAAACATTGCGAGCATGAAACCCGTCTGACCAGAAACGGGGGACGGCATGAACAGAATATTTGAACAGCCGATATGGTAGGCGGCGAGATGCACCCAAACGTGAAGATGTAATCTGCCACTGAACTTAAAGAAGAAAGAAAAAGGTCTGTTTGTCAGTATGAGTACTCGTACTAACCCTAACTAACTAACCCTAACTAACTAACCCTAACCCTCGTGTGTTCGTGAAACGTCATTAGCCTCATCGCCGATCTGATTTACAGGAACAAGACTGAGGCCATGGTTACAGGCGTCCTGCCACTGGAGGACATGCTGTGAAAAACGCCCAGAAGAGACACATGATTGACTGCTGGGTTGGCGGTCCAGCACCCACCCTTGCCTTTGAGCAGAAGACAGGCCTCTGCTCTTGCTATATTTAAGACTCATCTTTTTTCTTTGGCTTTTCACACAATTTGAGAGGTTTCACTTTGTTCTATTCTGTTTGTGCACTAATATGTATTTTATACTCGATCCTTTCTATTTTATAATTGCATTGTATTTTAGGATTGTGTACAGCACTTTGGTCCTGTCCTGTCGGTGTATAAAGTGCTTCATAAATAAAGTTGGTATGGTATGGTAGCGGTTTGGGTTTCATCTGCCAAAGGTTTGCAATAACAGCAGCTAAAGTCCAGACCGGATGGAGAATGAAGGTATCAAACTGAAGCTACGGAGTGTTAGCATTGGTTGGTCTGTTCCTTCCATCACAGTTCCCCGGACCAACAGAGCTCCTTCTACTCTGGGATTGTAAATGGAAGAGAACTTCAAAGTTACTAAAGCATGTTTCTCTGTTGACGGTGCCTCTTTAACATAAATCAAGCCAAGGGATCAAAGTTGGAGCAAAACGCCACCAAAGACATGCAGAGCCGTAGCTCTGAATACTGCTGCAGTAATGGACACCTTTTGCTTCGATACCGACAAAGAACAAGGGAAACTGTAGCTGTTCTTGTTCAGGGTTAGGGTTAAGCAGGGGGAACGCCATCTGACGGGTTTATAGGCTGTCAGATAGCGTTCCCCTCTGATGTCATTTACGTTGAGTTGCAATAAATGCTAAACTCTCTGCAGGTTCTTGTCTTTGTCATCCGCTCTATTCAGCTGGCTTTGAAACACACGGCGGAAGGTGGGGGCTGGGTGGTGAGGGTTACGGGGGCGAGAAACGCAAAAGTAACACAATAGTTTCTTTTGCTAGTAACTAGTAACTTTTATTGTGGAGTAACTCAGTTAGTAACTCAGTTACTTTATGGGAGAAGTAACTAGTAACTATAACTAACTACTTTTTTCAAAGTAACGTGCCCAGCACTGCTGGTAACCAATAGGCAGAGAAGGCAAAAGTACTGACTTTCCGTACTTGAGTAAAAGTACAGATACTTGTGTTAAAAAATACTCTGGTAAAAGTGGAAGTACTGATTAAACTTCTTTACTCAAGTAAAAGTAACAAAGTACAGGCTTATAAATTTACTTAAAGTATAAAAGTAAAAGTAGAAACCACTTTTTTCATGCCGTTGCCTACATTTTAAATGGATGTCTGCCAATAGGACTAGATCTCCGTTGTGTTCATTTTCAATCATCTCGTCGTCCATGCTACTATGCTAACGCCACCGCCACCAAGCTGCAATGATTTGCCGCCAATGAATACCGCCGAATCTGTCGATTCATCTTGTAGTGGTGCGTCAAATGCAACGTAGATTCCCATCCAATTAGATTGAATTTGGTATTGATGACGTGAAAAATAATAACGGTAACTCCATTGAAATGATTCAAAACTAAAGTAACGAGCCAATTTTTAAAAATGTAAGGAGTAGAAAGTACAGATATTTGTGTAAAAATGTAAGGAGTAGAAGTAAAAAGTCGCGATAAAAATAAGTAGTAAAGTAAAAATATCAGAAAAATCTACTTGAGTACAGTAACGAAGTATTTGTACTTCGTTACTTCCCATCTCTGCCAATAGGTGATGTGGGCGAATGAGTGTGAATTATCCAGGAATGAGACCTCGGCTGGTCGTAGCTGTCAGCACCGCCTTTCTAACCCAACATGCTTCACCTCTGCTCCTCTGACCATTTCCAGACCATCGGCCTGATAAGGAATCCTATTTCTACTAAACAGTTAGAATCTATGGGATCAATGAAGAAGCCGTGGTTCCGTCTCTAAAATCAACGGTCTGTGTGGAACCAGAGCTTTCCATCATCAAGGCCTCAGACCGGATCCTGCTGGGACTTACGTTGGGACGCAGTGAGCCGCAGTCAGAACCCATTGGTTGTTAATCAGGGATCCTCCACAGAAGTGAGACGATCTGTGCAGACTGACCTGCCAGGGCCAGCTGCCAGCAGGAGCTGCCTGTCCTCCAACAATCCTGGTGTTCAGCTGTGGCCGACCACAGTCTGCAGGGAAATGGACATGAATTCACTTCTTCAGTAAAATCTGCTAAATCTGCTGAATTCCTGTTCATCTGCCAGTAATGCAGTAATGACTCCTGTTAGATAGAAAAGCATTGCCAGGATTCTGCTACTCTCTGCAGACCTGACTTATTCCACAGACGGTGGAAGTAGGTTAGATCTGTGATGTGTAAACAAACGTCAGGAGATAAGGTCATTGGAAGAACATTTTCTAAAGTGAGGAACAATGTTATTCAGCCACTAACTGCCATTGATCTGGATCTATGAATAGACCTGAGGTGACTAGTTATGAACACTGGAGCATAGAAATAAACTGGATTGTTTCACTTCAGTCTTTAATGCAAATATATTTTATAAATATATTTTATAAAATGCTTTAATATTAAATGCACTTCTAGAAACTATGACAGAAAGCAAAGCAGCAGGTTAGTTTCCCCCATGGAAGCATTTTCCTACCTGACAGCTGTGAAGCCGAATCTGAAAGAAGAAAACAGAAGAACTGGATCAGTTCAGGAAATGGATGCGATTCAAATCATTTAGTTGAATCTTTGTTTTATGTTTCAGAGCAGCAGTCATCCTGCTGTGGAGAACTGAAGAACCATTGACTGAAACCAGCCTGGCAGCTTTTACTGCTTCATCATGCTGGAACAGCAGGTACAATCCTTCCAAACAATGATGATGTCACAACAGCAGCCATAAAATGTAGCAAAACCAGATTTGAAACAGTTTATGGGAAATAACGCTGGAGCAGAGGTAGGACGTCCATCACAGCTTCGTCTTCCATCTCTGCAAGATAGAATCTTTTAAAATGTGAACTAAATGATGCTCATAGTTTAATGCTGCAGATGATCGGCTGCCTGCTCTGTAGGGGGCGCATGGCCCGTTCAGCCTCTGGGGCGTTTGAAGGGCTTCGTTTGAGAGGAAGTTTCATTACAGGCCGTTTTTCTTTTTTCTGTATTTTATTCTGGGCTCACTTTTATTTTCCCTTCAAAGGAAGATCCACTCGGTCCCCACAACGTAGCATATTTCTAATTTAACATCAGAACATTTAATAGAGTGGATCAATAAAGCTGGACTTAATAATCATGAGTAAACAAACTTGTCTGTTTGATATCTTCTATAAATAGTGACTCCGTGTTTAATGCAGCCTGGGAATCAGGAATCAAAGGTTCACGAGGATTTGATTTCAGCAATAAAGTGCTGCTGTCTTTCTCTGTAATCTGGATCTTTTTCCAAGAAGCATTCGATAAGTTTAGTAGATGAAGCCTTGAAATCTTCTGGAGCTGAAATATTCATCCATGTATACATTTATTGGCTGTTACTCCTCTTCTGCTTTATCTAAATCCCTCTGAAGTTTCTATATTTATAGCTAATGGCTGATAAAACCTAAAAATGAAGAACTTTATGCTTAAATATTGTGCAGTTGTCTGTTAATAGATGTTAGTCTCACTCATCTGAACCTTTTTAATTCTTGTTAAGATCACTGATAATTAGCTCAGATTAAAATAAACAGATGAAAATTTTTACTGATTCTTTATTCAGAAGAAGAAATAGAGGAATTAGGATTATTTATAACTGTGACTAATATTCTTAATGTCAATTTTTTTTTCATAGAATTAGTTTGGATTTGATCCTTTAATTGACTTTATTTTTCATTCAAACCTTTATAAAGGAAACTTAATTTGGATGTTGATTGTGTCGTCGAAGCAGAGCTGACGCTCTCTAACCGCCGCTCCTCCCATCGTCTTATTTTAGAACAATAATTTCTTTTATTTTATTCTGACTAAAGCTACAGGAATGTTCCTGCTTTCTTCACCGGTGACTTTCTTATCATCACTTCATCCAGCCAAACAATTCAGGATATTTTCTGACAACTCAAATGGTTTGACGTTTATTCAAAGACTGTAGCTCATAGAAATAGCTGTGAAGTCAGGAGTCTCTCCTGAAACCGTCATAACTGGGAGTCATGGTGGCAAATGTTCACCCGAAAGCTTTTTGTTTGGTTTCATGAATGACCGATAAATGTCAAACATGACATTATGGAGAACACGCATCCTAAAAGCATCATTTAGACTGAACTAATCACCTTTTCAAAAACCTTCTCTTTGTTTAAAGGTTAGTTTTAATGCAGAGATTTAAATCTTTATTTATAAAGCCGTAAAAACAACAGGTTCCGATCCTAATAAATGAGTTAAACACTTCAATTCAAGATGAAAAATATATAAAAGAACATTCGAATCATATCACCACAAGTTGAATCTTTTACAATTTGAACATTTAAAAACTTTCCATTTAGGTATTTAATTTCCAGTTGATCTTATTCCTGATAATTTCCAGCAAACGATTATTTATTTTACGCAAAAATCCTGTTTTTCCTAAAAATCTGGATTTTGTATCATGTCCACTCATGTTTTTCTAGCAGCTAAGTTATTTCTGAGCAAGATGATAGTTTTGGGAAGTTCAGGTTAGCAAATAAGTTCAGCAGGTTTCCTGAAGTAACCTTAAAACCTTTAATGACTAATAGCTGCTTATGTTCTGAGGTTTGACCTTTTCTCTCGTTTTATCCTCATCTTGGAGTAAATGCAGCATGAAGTGAGTGAAGGAACCGGACAGGTGGGATTCTTACCTTGGGTCAGCAGAGTCAGCAGAGCAGCCACACAAACCACCTTGTAGAGAGCCATTGCTGCGAGTTAAAGTCAACTGACCTGGTTTAGCAATAATAACCTGCAGCAGGTCTGCAGACACGCCTCGGCCAGTTTAAGGCCATGCCCAGCACCTCTTACCTGCTCCTCCTCCCTGAGCACAGCACACCTGTGACAGGCGGCCCCACTGGCGTCTGAACTCACCAGTTCTGTCTCCATCAGACTAAATGATGCTCTAACTGGGAGAGTCTGTAGAGTAAATGAACCTGGAGGGAGGAAGATCTTAAATGTGTGGAGAAGCTGAGTTTGTGTTCCTCAGACCAGCAGCTCTGGACTTCAGATTAGATGAGAACTTTATAGGCGATGGATGTTTTTATTGGTTAAGCAACATCAGCAAAACTAACCAAGTTTGTAGAGAAAAACAAACGAGGGATTTATCACAATTTAACTTTCACACAATTAAGAGTGTGAACAACAAAGTAAAGAGAACTTCTAGAAAAGTAAATACAGTCTTAAGAACTTTGCAGGGTTTTGTTCTTTGCTCCTTATTTTTGGCACCACAAACGCCACCTTGTGGCCATTCGTTATCCTGCACTGGACTGGTTTAAAGGGGTCATAGAATGCAAACTGAGTTTCTATTGTCATAGATGAATGACGATAGTTTAGTGGGTGAAATGGACGTACAGAGAAGTTCAAACTCCATCAACACCTCCTTTCTCTGCACATCTCACAATTCTAATCTTCCACCATAAAACGGGCGAATCCAATGAAGCACAGAGTTGTCATAAACTCGGGGATGTTGCCTTATTTGGTTCTGGTCCTTTACTTTTGTCACGCCCCAAAATTGACATCCAGACCAGCTCACTGGTTCACTGGGCCAAGAACATGAATAGAGGTCGATGGAAGACAGCAGTTTAGCTGTTCAGCCTAAAGTTGGGTAAACTTCTACAAGAATCACAAATCAGGCAGTTTCTCTATTGATGAGCCAGAACCACGGGAGGAAATGCAGCGTTCCAGGCTGACCGGAGAAAAGGGAACATTTTAAGAGTCTCCCCAACGATCAGAAAACTCGACAGGCATAGATTATTTCTATTTATCAGGAGATCCCTGCAGAGTTTGATGCTCAGCTTTTCATTTGCTCGAAGCATTTTATCAAAGACAGCTTTCAAAATCTTGGAAAGTTAAAAGCTGGATTTGATAAACTTATTTTATAGAAACCAGGGGCTGTTCCCACAAACCCAGGCCATTGCAACCGCAGCTGGAAGGTTGATTCTGTTGCTAAGCTGCCAGCCGGGGGCGGAGCGACTGACCACATTTTTTTTGGTCTGAAAAGTAGGACATGTCCAGGAAAAAGAGGACGTCTGGTCCCCCTACCAAATCAACGATGTTTCAGTGAGTGAGTGCTTGTTGCTATGATGCGTCTTTGCTCAGCAGCTTGGCTCGTTGTAAACCAACCAATCAGAGCACAGCTTATCTAAATATTCATGATCAAACCATAAAAGGAAGAAAACCTGTGAACTGAGCAGAGAGGGTATTTAAGGGAGACTGAGACAAAGAGAGAACTAATGAGCAGACTGGGTACAGGTGCGCATAGAGCAGAACAAAAAAAGGAGCTACGGAAAAAGGTGAACACAAGAGGGCAGCAGGGGGCAACCAATAAAAACCTAGAAAACTGAAAATAACCAGAAAACACAACAAAATAAGAATTAAACCACTAAGACAAGGTGAGTCCTTCCTGCATGTGTGACAGGTATACTTTGTGCAGTGAACACAACCCTCAATGCTGTGGTTCCTGTTGCAGAGATTGCACACCTGGCCTGCTTAGAATAACAATGAAAAAATCTAAAAAAAAAAATAGAGTTTAGCACATTTTCCCAAAGTAAGAGTTGTAGTCTGAACTAGATGAGGTTATCTATGTTTGGAGGCATTACAACAATCTATAGTGTAATTATTGGCTATTATATGCTTATAATAAAAAAGAAAAAATCTCCAAAAATAAAGTTTGGCCTATCTTCCAAAAGTAAGAGTTGTACTGTGAACTTGATGAGGTTACAAGTTTGAAGGCAGTACAGTGATCTATAGTTTAATCATTGCTCATTTTATACTTATTCTAATTATAGAATAGAGGTGCCATTTATTTAGGCTTTTGGAAATTCCTCAGAAAAGTATTATATTAATAAATGTGATAATAATCCACCTCTCCTTGGTGACGCTTTTGAATATTTCTCTCTGATTATTTTGCAACTTGCAGACGGAGCATTTGTGGAGCAGCGAGCTCCCCATAGGGTCCAATGTAATTCTCCCAGCGCGACAGGAGACTCGCTTTTAGGAAACTACGGTTGTAGCTCACTGTCTGCATTGCTCTGGTTGTGGAGAGGTGTCTGTTTTGTAGAATAAATCATCTGCTGACGAGTTATTAATCAAAAATGCAGAATCTGTGAATTTATTGCCAACTTTACTGCAGTCTTACGTTGCTGTCTGCATGTCTGCAGTGGAGGAGTTATATTTCCCCCCAAATAAATAATGGTCATTATTGTATAAATATTGTTGCTTTCTACAGCGTTCCAGCTCATGCATCATTGTACAGATCAGTTATCGTCTGTTCGCTGCGCTGGTGGCTCTGCTGAAATCATTGTGGTGTTGGCGACACTAATGACGTAGATCTAGTTATATTTAATTACAAATATGATTTCCCCCTTGCTCTCAGGTAAAATACTCTCAAAGAGAGAGACTTGAGCTAAAACTGAAGCGGGTGAAATGGTTGTCCAATGACAGCTCTAATGGTGCATTGGGGAAGATTGGAGGCTGAAGAAAATTCTCATATCTTTGGGATTTCTAGTGTTAAACAGACTCATCCATTAACTCTGCTGCATTTTCGCTTTTTTAGTGAATTTATTCTTTTAAATAAATAATTTTTACTTTTACAGGCTCTTTTATAGCTCTGCTCACATTCACCGCAGCTTGTTTTTTATTGTTCATTAATATACCTCTCCTGTGCCACAGAGATACAAAAAGCAGCTGTAAAAAGTCGGCCCCGTCCAGGAAACACACAGCCAGGCAGACGAGCTCCGAGCCAGCTCCCATGTCAGAGGATGAAGAGAGCACATCCAGTTAGTCACAGTCAGAGAAACAGGACTACACTGGAAAACAGGCCAAGCTCCAACATCTAGAAACAAAGGTGTTGATGGCAGCAGCACAGCTGATATTTCTCTCCAGGATGGAGTCACAGCCAAACAGGAACAGACCAGATGAAGCTACTATGAGAAAAAGCAGAGAGAGCAGAACGTTAGAGATTGAACTAATAGATTCTGCAGAGTGGGAGAATAGAGATAGAATGAAGCAGAATGATGAAAAAGGGGTCCCTATGTCCTCCAGCAGTCTAAGCCTATAGCAGCAGAACTATAGAGATAGCTCAGGATAACCTGAGCCACTCTAACTAGAAGCTTTATCAAAAAGGAAAGTTTTAAGCCTAGCCTTAAAAGTAGACAGGGTGTCTGCCTCACGGACTAAAACTGGTAGTTGGTTCCACAGGAGAGGAGCCTGATAACTAAAAGATCTGCCTCCCATTCTACTTTTAGAAATTCTAGGAACCACTAGTAAACCTGCAGATTGAGAGTGAAGTGCTCTGTTAGGAACATAAGGAACAATCAGATCTCTGATATCATATGGAGCTTGGCCATTTAAGGCTTTATATGTGAGAAGGAGGATTTTAAATTCTATTCTGGATTTAACAGGAAGCCAATGAAGAGAAGCCAGGATAGGAGAGATATGATCTCTCTTTTTCATTTTCATCAGAACTCTGGCTGCAGCATTTTGGATCAGTTGAAGGCTTTTAACTACAGTTTGTGGACTTCCTTCCGGGTGGTGGTGCTCATGGTTTGGTGCATGGTTTTCCTTTTGTTTGTTTGCTGTGTATCTTTTGTAGGTCACTATCCTGATTTGCACTGCCATCCTCAAGTTGAGCCATAACTATTATCTCCAATAAGATAGAGGAGATTCATATCAAAATTCTGCTCTCTATATATTCAACAAATTTATATTTTTCGATATTCTCAGATATTGAAGATAAATGCAGTTTTTAAAATATGGAACCAGAATCCTTATACAATTTATTCTATCCCTGTATCTACTCTATTAATCTTTGGACTCTTCTTGGACAAAATATAATGTGTAAACTGAAAACATAGACTGTAATTGACTATAGGAGTGTAATACTGTAATTTGCCCATGGAGACACTAATGGTACTTTTTTCACATACCTAATCATTTTCTAAGCTAAATTCATATAAACAATATTTGTTTATAAACGTATAAACAAATATTCCAAAAGGTCCGCCAACTTCAGATGTTTTGTTGCACCAATTCAAAGAGTGGATGAAATTCTTACTTTAATTCATTTGAAACAGAGACATACTTCCATGGATATTTATGAGAAATTTTCCAATTAATAATGTATTTCGTTTTTTGTATGTATTTTATTTTACAGCACCTGTCTATTGACCTTCTGTATATTTTGTTTGTTTGTAATATCTGTATATTTGTTTTTTTATAAAGTATTTTCAATAAAAAAAATCTAAACATATTTATTAATATATTTCAAAATATTTTACATAATAATTTAAATTAAATTACAAAAAAAATATTTTATTTTTTTATCAGGGTCATTGGGTGGGTGAGACGGAGCCATGGCGCCCTCTACTGGCCAGCCACCACTGCAGCAGGTAAATAAAATAGCTTTTTTTCACAGGCCTTACCGGTAGGTGGCGGTAAAGAGCATCACGTTGTTTTCCTTCCGCCATTGAACCTCACAAAGAAGAAGAGTCGCTGTTTGCGAGTTTAAAGGCGTCCAGAGATGACTGGCGGGAACGCTTTTCACAAGAGTTTCTGTTCCACTAAGGACTCCGAGCTCAACATGGACGTGGACTTGGACTCGAGTCGGACCGAGAGCGAGCGGGGAGACCTGGACAGCAGTGTCCCCATAGCCTGCTCCTCTAACGGAAGCGGCGGGGAGGAGGACGAAGCGGAGGGCCTGGGCAGGCCCAGAGAAGCCGGGGGCTCAAGTAATCAGCTCACCCCGGATGGAGGGAGCGACATCGGGATCGGCAGGGAGCAAGAAGTGTCGGTGGAAATAGGAGAAACTTATTTGTGTCAAAGAACGGATAAAACATGGCGTGAGTAAAAACATCGTTTAACTGCTCTGTCTCTGATCTAGTTCATGTTGATCTATAGTTTTACCACAAAAAGATCTAATATTGAATTAACGATTACAGCCGAGACATTTTAGCATTTTAACTCATTAATAACCGAAACAATCTGCGTTTATCTCATTATTAACAGACGCTTTGAAATCTAAGCTTATTTGAAACAAGATATTTTGGTCGGTAAATTATCAAATGATGTTTTTATTAAAGCACCGATTGTTTACATCACTGAAGTTAGCTTCCGGTTCGCAGCTTCCACCTCTGATGGGTTAGGGTTAGCCAGAACCAGACTGCTGGTTCTGATGGGTTAGGGTTAGCCAGAACCAGACTGCTGGTTCTGATGGGTTAGGGTTAGCCAGAACTAGACTGTTGGTTCTGCTGGTTCTGATGGGTTAGGGTTAGCCAGAACTAGACTGTTGGTTCTGATGGTTCTGATGGGTTAGGGTTAGCCAGAACCAGACTGCTGGTTCTGAAGGTTCTGCTGGTTCTGAAGGTTCTGGTGGGTTTAATGGATCCGGATCTCAATGATCAGAACATTTCTGGAAGCTTCTCAGCTGCTTTTTGCTCCTTTTTCCAGAAAATGTCTCAAAGTTAGTCTGGTAAATTAGCCCCGCCCACCAGCGGCCAGGATCATGATTGGTCTAGCCTCCATCAATGCCCCAGGCCCTGGAACTGGCGGGCCAATCACAACACAGAGATGTGTTTTGAATGTCTGGATGCAAAGTGGGCGGGGTTTTGAGGGCGTGACGACAAAGCTGCGCGACGCTGGAGAAGTTCAACCAGGAAGATGGCGACAGCGGTTGAACAGATCTGGTTTGACGCAGCTTTGGAATCTGGAAGGATCAGACTTTCGTTGAAACGTGATCAGGAAGCGGCTCTACGCTCGTTCGTTTAAAAGAACGACGTTTTCGCCGTTTTACCGACAGGCTGTTTGTTTCCACCCCCCCACCAGCTTCCTATGGCGCTTCCTGCGTCACAGTCAGCTGCTCTCATTGGTCAGAGCGTTGGCCAATAGGAACAGACGTGGTTTGGTTGATCTCAGCAACAATCTTCCAATGTCTCATTCATCGGGTCCAGACTAGATTACACATTTAATCTCAGGTTTAGTCTGGTTTATCAGGCTAGATCAAAGATAGAAATGGAAAGCCTTTGATCTTTATACATTTGAAGATTATGGCAGAAAATTAAAACATAAATCTAGTGTCTCAGAAATATAAAGTTTACATTTAATGAAAAAACACAATTTAATTATAAATACCAGGCCAGGTTCTTTTCTATGCTTTCAATATTTGGACTCCTTTTGTTATTGAGAAATTAAATAAATGCATAAATAAATTGGTGCTGCAGCTGACGATTACCATTATCTATTAATCTGTCAATAATTTTTTTCATTTAATGATCTGATCTTAAAAAAATTCTTTTTTGAAAATTTAACTGGTGAAGCTAAAAATTTTTACTTGAAGATTTCTGGATTATAGAGCACGGAAAATGGTTTTTAATCTCAAATGTAAAATGTTGATATATATTTTTAACTTTTGTGTTGTAATTCCTCTCTGTCAGTTAAAGGCGTGTTTTACAGTCTCTAGATTAATTAATAAATTAGTTGATTATTTCAATAATCGATTAAACCGATTAATTAACATCATTCTGCTGGCATGATGTCAGAGCAACAAATTCCCTCTCTGTATTTAACCCCTCCCCCCCAGTGGGGGGCTAAAGGTCTGGCTCAGGGACCCAGAGTGTCAGGCTGTGGGAGTGGGACTCTGGATTCATAGCTCTATGCTCAGCAGGCTGCCACTTGTTTATATTGTAAATCAAACGGCGGATTGGTGAATAAAATGTCTCTGGGCCCAAAATGACGTTTTCTGATTACAGACTTTGATCTGCTGCTCCGTGAATTTTTCTGAAGAAAAGATGATTTATTGAAGCATCCTGGAGGAACGATGTTAATCACCTGCTGCAGATCCTCCAGGATCAGAGCAAAGAGTCGGCATCCAGACCAACTATGGAGTTTATTAACATTTCAGAAACAATCATTTTTCTTCAGGCGTTTCCTGTTTGATGACATCACTGAGCCTTCTCTTCATCGAAATAAGTTACAGCTCTGTTAATCTGTGCTGATGCATTATTCTGCTTCCTGTGGATGTAGCCTTGGAGCGCTCCAGCAGCATCTTAAAGGAATAGTACACCCAAAACATGATTAGCCTTCATTTTCTACTCACCCCCATGGTGAACAACACTCTGGAGTACTTTTTTGATATCTCAAATGCATCTGGAGATCTGGGAGGCTTCTTGCTGTCTGCTGACATTCAAATAATGGAGGTCTATGGCGCCCGAGGCAGAAAGGTCCATAAAAGTCCACAAAAAACGTTACAATATTCCTCCATACTGCTCGTCCAATGTATTCCAAGTGTCCTGAGTGGGTAGCATCCAGAATTTACTCGAAACGAAGTCATTTAGAATGTTTTTAGAGCATAAACAGTAGTGTATAGGATTTCCTGAAAGCGCGCACATGCGCGTTCACGACGCTACGGAAGCCGGCAGACCAAACCAGATGAAAGTGCGCATTCAGAGTCTGCTCTGCCAATAATGCAAGCGTAGAAGAAGAAATGTGCTGTTTACCTGTGCAAAGAAAGAAACAACGAAAGAAAAATGTCTGAGGACTTCAGTGTTGAGGAAGAGCATGAGTTCTTTGCCGAGCTGAATGCGCTGGTTTGGTCTGCCGGCTTCCGTAGAATCGTGAGCGTGCATGTGCGCGCTTTCAGGGAATCCTATACACTACTGTTTATGCTCTAAAAACATTCTAAATGACTTCGTTTCGAGTAAATTCTGGATGCTACCCACTCAGGAAACTTGGAATACATTGGAAGAGCAGTATGGAGGAATATTGACACGTTTTTTGTGGACTTTTATGGACCTTTCTGCCTCGGGCGTTGGGCACCTCCATTATTTGAATGTCAGCAGACAGCAAGAAGCCTCCCAGATCTCCAGATGCATTTGAGATATCAAAAAAGTACTCCAGAGTGTTGTTCAGCATGGGAGTGAGTAGAAAATGAAGGCTAATCATGTTTTGGGTGTACTATTCCTTTAAGCTAGGCTCATGCTACGCATCGTGTCTCTCCGCCCCGCTACGCTGCAACATTTGGAGCTAAGCAGACAGATCTGTGCAGAGCAGCACGATCAGCGGATGGTGGTGGTATTTATGAATCAAAGCACGCATTGTCTCCAGATGTTGCAGCTGCTGCTCAGTGGATCTGTTGTTAGACATAGAAACGCAGCGCCTAGAGGAGTGGAGGCTAAAACCCACCAAATGTGTCCCTGCAGACGTGTCCAGCTGACGCGGCGCGGTTTTACTCCTGCTGCTGAAATCGCTGCTTGTTTCTAATGTAAACCTGTTGGATGTTGCAGACATGGCGGAGGTGATTCAGTCTCGCCTGAACGAGCAGGAGGGCAGAGAGGAGTTCTACGTTCACTATGTGGGATGTGAGTATAGAGCTGCTGGTCCGTCTGCTGGCCGCCGTCCTGCAGGAGGACTTAGTGCTGCTGCTGTGTCTGCCTGCAGTTAACCGCCGCCTGGACGAATGGGTGGGCAAGTCCCGCCTGGCGCTTACCAAGACGGTGAAGGATGCGGTGAGGAAGAGCTCTGAGATGGGAGGAGTGGGAGACCTGGGCGACCAGCCTGAGAGGAAGATCACGCGCAACCAGAAGAGGAAGCATGATGAGATCAACCACGTGCAGAAGGTGGGAGGGGTTGTTTGCAGAACCGCCTGCATTTAAATTTGGTCTGATGGACGTTGCTCTCCTGCTAACAGACATACGCGGAGATGGACCCGACGACGGCGGCGCTGGAGAAGGAGCATGAGGCGGTGCGTGGTTCTCTCTAGCTGATGTGTCTGCGGCAGCCATCTTCTCACAGCTGTTTCTGCTCCACAGATCACCAAAGTGAAATACGTGGATAAAATCCAGATCGGGAACTTTGAGATCGACGCCTGGTACTTCTCGCCGTTCCCAGAGGACTACGGCAAGCAGCCCAAGCTGTGGATCTGCGAGTACTGCCTGAAATACATGAAGTATGAGAAGACGTTCAGATACCACCTGGTGAGTCCTGCAGCAGGTGGCGCTGCTCCCAACCTGACAGCTGGTCTTGCTGATGCTCTGATCCCTCTGCTCCTCAGTCTCACTGCCAGTGGAGGCAGCCTCCAGGGAAGGAGATCTACAGGAGGAGCAACATCTCCGTCTATGAGGTGGACGGCCGGGATCATAAGGTAGGTGGTGAGCTCAGCAGCGTCTGCCTCTGTGCAGCTCAGAGAGAGCAGAGACCATGTTTGGACTGTGTGCAGATCTACTGTCAGAACCTCTGTCTGCTGGCCAAGCTCTTCCTGGACCATAAAACTCTCTACTTCGACGTGGAGCCCTTCATCTTCTACATCCTGACTGAGGTCAACAAGCAGGGGGCGCACATCGTCGGCTACTTCTCCAAGGTGAGTCCATCCCAGACCTGCTGAAGCAGAACCATGCATGGACCACGGACCCACCACCAGTGGGAGATGTGTTGGTCTAGTGGTTAGGAGAAGGCTGTAAGTACCCAGTTCGATCCCGGCAGCATCCACAGCAGTGTGGGGTTAAGACCCCTACACACCCTGGGGGGTCAGGGTTCTGGAGGACTAATAAATGTGGCCAGATTCCTAGAAAGAAGAGCTGCACCATCCAAAGTGGGGTGGATGCCGTCTCTCCGAATCAGACCAGGCTTTCCCCAAAAGGATTGCCAATTATTAATGTAGCCCACATTGTTTTCAGGACACCACCTAGACGACCAGCGGTTGGATGACGACATGCGGCTAAACATGTCATCACTGGTCAGATCAGGGAGGGGACCAGAGAAAATTACAGAGTCCCACATTGTTTTGGCAAACTTACACACCGAAGCAACACTAATTTTAGTGACCTCCGATCGGCGTAACCGGGTGTCATTACCACCAGCGTGAATAACAATCTTACTGTATTTAACCTTATCCTTAGCCAGTAGTTTCAGGTAGGATGTGATGTCGCCCGTTCTGGCCCCCGGCAAACATTTGACTATGGTCCCTGGTGTCTCTAATTAGGGTTGTGCAAAATAATCGTCATGATGATGCATCGTGATTCTAATTTTCGTGATCTACTGCATCGATTCTTGACGCCAAGTATCGATTATTAATTTTAAAAATGAATAAATAAAATTGCATGAATGGTTGGCGAACATCAGCCAAAAACAAGTGTAATACAACTTCCAGTCCAGTAAATGTTGCTGCAAATGTGTTGACGCACGCTGCCTTGTGTCACAAGCATTTCCGGCCGTGGGATACTGCGCCGAGTCATTCAAAAACAAAACATGGAGGAGAAAATATTGCAATGCATCGCAATAATTCAAGTATCGTGATGCATCGTGATAGAATCGCATCGTGACTTCTTTGGCAATACCCACCCCTATCTCTAATGCCACGTTTCTGACTATGGAGCTGCCAATCACCAGAGTGGGCTTCTCAGTGGGTGTGTCACTGAGTGGGGAAAACCGGTTAGAAACGTGAACGGGTTGGTGGTGACCAGTGGGCAGAGATCCACGACTACGCTTTCTGCGTACAGTTACCCAATCGCCTGGATGCTCAGGCACTGCTGGAGGACAGCTACGTGGGGGGTCTACTTTAACTCCTGGATGTTCAACAGCCTGAAGCCTTTCTTTCTTTAGAATCTGAAACTTAAAGACTGATGATTACGAAATGGATGATTTTATACTGCTAATGATTAACAATCCTTTCAGGCACCAGTTCCTGATGAAATATGGAAGAATTTAATGAAATTTAACAGCAAATCCTTTGGTTGGTGGCTTCATGTGAAAAACAGCAGATTTGAGGCGTACTGACTAGAAGTTGGAAGAAGAACCTGAACACATCATGTGATCTTGGTGAATGAGACGCCATGTTTGCTTCCAACTCAGCCTGGAAACCTACAGATATCTGAGAAATGTTGCCTAATATGTCCGATGGATCGACTCCTGAAAGAGCACGGCTCTCCTAGGTCTGCCGTAAAGAACGCAGCCTTTCCGATCACGCTGGGATTTAAGCCAGAACTTGTTCTGGGTTCTGACCTGGATTCTGAAACGGGTCCAGTTTGTTGTTTCAACCTGCTTCCTTTCTGCTCTGATGCTTTGCAGGAAAAAGAGTCTCCAGATGGGAACAATGTGGCGTGTATTCTCACGCTGCCGCCGTACCAACGCCGCGGATACGGAAAGTTCCTCATCGCCTTCAGTGAGTAAAACAAGGACGTGTTTGAGTGAAGATCAGAAATAAAACTTGTTTTTCATGTGAATGCTTATTTCTGAAACTTAGTCTTCATTAAAACCAGAAAACATCTGGTGAGTCCTGCTTTCAGGACATCTGAACATTTTCTGAATGACACAAGAAGCCATCTGTGGAGGCCTAGGCCCCCTCAGACCCCACCTCGGGGGTCACAGCAGGACCTCTGACCTCCAGAGGCCTTTTTATGTCCACACCTGGAGGGGATTCACTCCGACAGTAGTGAAAATAAGCAGGATGAGGTCATAGATGCTTGTTTGACATGTGAGTCCCTCCATGGTGTCCTGGTCGTCCTCCTGGGGGGACGTGCCTGGAACTCCTCAGAGGGAGGCGTTAGCTGGATTAAGTCTTCCTTTCACCGTCCAACCATGTCCTCTTCAGGGTCAGCAGCTCCCCCCTCCCATCATAAACAGGGTTAGCAAAGCTAACCCCTCTAGAGGTGTTTGCCAGAACAACAGTCTGTCTGACCTCCTCCCAGAGCCTGGTTTGGCCTCCATGACGGCCCAGCCACGCTCCGCCTCATGGTAGTTGCTCCATAGGTCATGTTCCAGCATAGGTCTCCTTCAGAGGGGCAACCCAAACCTGTTACTGCCGGGGTCCACCGCCACCGCAGACCTCCATCATTCTGATTTCAGGCTCAGTTCTGTTAGTTTGGACCCGTTTGAAAGCAGGGAACCTTGTCATTGCAGAACCTGACATGATGGCTGCTCTTCTTGTCTCTGCTGTCCTCAGGTTACGAGCTGTCCAAGCTGGAGAACACGGTGGGCTCTCCAGAGAAGCCTCTGTCCGATCTGGGGAAGCTGAGCTACAGGAGCTACTGGTCCTGGGTTCTGCTGGAGATCCTGAGGGACTTCAGGGGAACGCTGTCCATCAAAGACCTCAGGTTGGTACTTGGGAACTCTGGGGCGGGGGTGTCCTAGAGTTGCCTGGGGGCCATCCAGGGCCCAGAGGATTTCAGCTTTCATGAGGAGCTGCTTCTGATGGCCAACCTGAAGCAGATGAAGGTTTCCCATTTTGGACTCTTTCTCAGCAACATCTCCTCCTGTTTACAGCAGATTCCTCTAGTCCTGCATCCAGTAACCGAGTCATCAGCAGGAGATTTTCTCTGTGGTTCTCCCTTTTCTCCTCTGTTCATTTTCCCCAAATTCACAAACTCCTTATTGGTTATGTTGGAAAAATGTAAATAAATAAATTCTAGTCCAAAAACATCCGTATTCACATTTTCACGTTGTATGTTCACATTTATTTATTGCGTCTAAAAATATCAAACATATTTTCAATTCAAAGTATAAATAATACATTATAGCTTAAATCATGTTATAGGTCAGGCATCCCCAAACTCGGTCCTCGAGAGCCGCTGTCCTGCAGGTTTTAGAGGTTTCTGTGCTCCAGCACAGCTGATTTTAATTGATAGTTGATTAACAGGCTTTTGGTCTACTGCAATCATCATAATCAGCTGCGCTAAAGCAGGGAAACCTCTAAAATCTGCAGGACAGCGGCCTTCGAGGACTGAGTTTGGGGATGCCTGTTATAGGTCATCTAATCGGTGTCCGTCTGTGAAAGAGACTGCCTGCAGTGAATTTAAATGTCCAGCAGGTGTCAGTATTCAGTGATAGACTTCGACACAATATCTATACAGTTTGCAAACGAAACGCCTCCTTAAATCATCGCTAACGGACAGAATCGTCCCAAAGAACAAAATAACCTCCAAAATAATCCTGTAGTTGTTAGAAACTTTCCCAAGTTTGAAGCTAAGCTGTTAGCAAACAGAGCAAGGTGCTTCCTCCGTCAGTGGAATCATCTGGAGGGATATTAGACATTCCATCCATAACGGCGCCCCCTTCCACTGCGTCACCCATGATCAATAGGATGCGACTCGCTATTTATGCGATTTGAGCTTGGCACCAGATTACCTAAGTAGAAGGGGAATTCAAGATGGCGGTCTGGGGAAGGCTGGATTAGCAAATTTTGAAGGCATGGTTAGCTTAAAGCCTGCGTGTCGCAGTGCAGCACGACTAAAACAATCATCTCTGCTTTCATCTGTCATCGTTTCCGGATCCATGGCTCAGATTGTCACATCTGCAGGTTCTCTGAGAACCATCGTTATTATTTTGATGTTTAAAATGGTTTCCATCTGGGATTTCTTCTCAGGACAGAATCTGACTGAAAGCTTGAAGATGTAAACAGAGCTTTGCTTTACAGCAATGGTTGATGCTTTACAGCAGCCTTGGTTTTGTTTTTAGTCAGATGACCAGCATCACCCAGAGTGACATCATCAGCACGCTGCAGTCCCTCAACATGGTGAAATACTGGAAGGGTCAGCACGTCATCTGCGTCACTCCCAAACTGGTGGAGGAACACCTGAAGAGTGCCCAGTACAAGAAACCACCAATCACAGGTGAGCGCCGAATGCGTCGCCGCCAGCAGCCTCCTCGCCGTTTGACTCAACCTTCCTTCTGTTTCCTGTTTGCAGTGGACACCGTGTGTCTGAAGTGGGCGCCCCCTAAGAACAAACAAGCCAAGGTGTCCAAGAAGTGAGCCGAGGATCCAGCTTCTCCGTTCTGCCTGTAAATAACCCTGATTTTCTTAGAATAAATCTGTACATAGAGCGCCATGCGTCCCGTCTTCATTCCAAACCCAGAAAATCCCCTTTGGTGTCTGGGAGCTTAAAGGACGACGCCTCCATGTTTTATGGTGACCAGAGGATGGCTTCGGTCAGCGAGTGAACGGCTGCATGTGCCGTGATGTAGAGGAGCTAGAAGATGATTGGTCTATATGTGAGGACCTGTGGGTCTTCATGAAGACAGGAAGTGGATTCGCATCCGATGGGGAGAACTTGGAAAGCAAGTATCTCATCTCATCTCACAGATCAACCAGATCATCCAGTCAGATTGATTCAAAGTTTTCTATCTAAGGAAAACCAGCTGATTGCATCGACTCATTGACTCTTCAGCAATCCCTCACACTAAGCATGCTTGTAGCGACAGTGGAGAGGAAAAACTCCCTTTGAACAGGAAGAAACCTCCAGCAGAACCAGGCTCAGTGTGAGCGGCCATCTGCTGAGGCCCACTGGGGTTCAAGGAGACAGAAGCAGACGTAGAAAAAGAAGCATAGATACAAAAGGCAACTGTCAACCAGCTCCACAGGCGGCCCCGTCCAGGAAACACACAGCCAGGCAGACGAGCTCCGAGCCAGCTCCCATGTCAGAGGATGAAGAGAGCACATCCAGTTAGTCACAGTCAGAGAAACAGGACCACACTGTTTATACACTACTCTCAGTGTGGAGAACCTTAAAACAAGATGTACCAGAGTTGGTTATTGCTGGTTTCCATCTGCAGGTTCTCACTTTAAAAACAGAACTAACTGCATTCAGTGTAAAGAACTAAGAAATGTTGTACATAGAAATGTTGGTGGAACAGCTGGACTAAAAAAGCAGTTTGTCTAAACAAAGAGGATTTGAGTTGGTTAATCAGAGTAAAGTTTGCTTTTTCAGTAGGCGGAGCTTGATTATAATAAATGCTGTTCTTAAACTGGCTAAACACAGTTTGCTTCCCTGCTGCTCCTCATTCCTCTGATTTCTCTCCTGGTTCCTCCAGCAGCTCATCTCTTTGCTTTTGCATTTATTTTTTTAGCTCAGAATAAAGGAACTGGACTGAAGTAAGAAAATAGTTATCTGGTCTAATAATACATCTAAACTGATATGAGATTCAACAAACATTCTCACCATATCAAAGCATTCAAGTAAAATTCCCATTATTTGAAATATGAGCCAGATCTGTTTTTTATATTCAGATTAGAAAATCCCTTTATTGTCCCTCAAAGGAGAAATTCTGGTGTTTTCAGCAGCAAACAGATTATAGAAAAATATGGTCTCACAAATGTGGACCTTTGAAAATGTATAAAAGTAACTTAACGATGAAGAGTTAAAAGATAATAGAATCAGAAATACTTTAATAATCCCAGAGGGAAATTACTTTTGTTACACGATCCAGATACAAAAAACGTGTGTATATATATATAGATGTATATATAGATAGATATGTGTGTGCATATGTATAGCTATAAATCCAGATAATGTGAAAGTGATGTACAAAAAACATTGCAAGGAATGAATAAATGTCAGTTACGGGGGTCTGAATCACTGAGGGAGGCGTTATAGAGCTTGATGACCACAGGTAGGAATGGTTTCCTGTGGCGCTCTGTGGAGCATCTGGGTGGGAGGAGTCTCCTGCTGAAGGAGCTGGTCTGCTGGACCAGTGTGTCGTGGAGAGGATGTGAGTCATTATCTAAGATGGACTGAAACCTGGACAGCATCCTCCTCTCTGCCACGGTGGTCAGGGTGTCCAGCTGCTCCCCCACAGCATCACCGGCCCTCCTGATCAGTTTGTTCAGTCTGTTGTTTTCAGCGACCCTCAGCCCACTGCCCCAGCATGTGACAGCGAAGAAGAGCGTGCTAGCAACAACAGACTCATAAAACATCCTCAGCGTCGTCCCACAGATGCTAAAGGACTTCATCCTCCTCAGGAAGAATAGTCGGCTTTGGCCCTTTTTGTAGACCGCCTCGGTTTTTCTAGTCCAGTCCAAATCATTGTTAAAGTCCACTCCCAGGTACTTCTACTCCTCCACAGTGTCAACAGGAAGCCCCTGGATGGAAACAGGGGTCACAGGTGTTTTTGTCCTCCTCAGATCCACTATGAGCTCCTTAGTCTTTGTCACGGTCCCTGGTTCTGGACCATGGGCCCGGTCCAGGGGCCCCGCAGGTGGATGTGTGGAGGTCAGACGGTGTGCTCTGTCTCTGGGGAGAGGATCTCCATGGGCCCGGTCCCTGGTTCTGGACCCAGGCCCTGCCGATTACTGTCCCCTGGTGTCGACACCTATCCCTGGGGTGTGCACTGGTTCTGAACCGGGCCCCATGGTTCTGGAAGCCTGTGGAGAACCAGGGCGGTCCAGGGCCCACTTCATGGGCCTCCCTGGTTCTGGAGGTGTTGAACCGGGTCTGCTGAGTCTTGTCCCCTGATGTTGACACCTGTCCCTGGGGTGAGGGGCTGCACTGGGTGGCCTTGCCCCTGGTAAGGTGGTAAAACTTGGAAAAAAATCCAAAAAATGGTTAAAAGTTTAAAAATATGCGCTTTAACATGCTGACTGCTGTCCCAGTGCTTCAATCTGGCCAGATGTCCATTCATTGTTGCTGTTTGGTCGCTGTTAACCAGGTAAGTTTGTAAAATTTAGAAAAAAAAGTTATTTTACGCTGTTATCGGAGCGTTTGGCGTTTCCGCTGCCACCGGAAACGGAAATGGGGCCTGTTTACACAGTTGTAGTCTTTTCGCTTCACTCTGTGTACTCCGACGTCGAGGTGCTAACGTCTCTGTTAAACACTTTAAAAAACTCTGAAAATGGAATACGAAAGGTGGATTCTTGATTCTCGACGTCGGAGTACACAGAGTGAAGCGAAAAGACTACAACTGTGTAAACAGGCCCCATTTCCGTTTCCGGTGGCAGGGGAATATTGACTATTCCTACAGAACTCAATGGGATTTACAAAATGCTAAATAAAACACTACAGGAAAGTTTTTTCTTCACGAAACCTTTTTTGGAACGTCATTGAACAGCGCTGAAGACCCGGTGAGTAGCATATTTTAAAAAAAGAACGTTTAAGGTTGTTTTAAGGACATTATCGGACATGCTATATGAAAGCCATTCTAAAGCAGCCAGGGGGTGATTCTGAATGAGCCAAAAAGCAGAGACAGGACCAATTGTCAAACTTTTGGTGTCGATCATTCGATTTCATCCTGGACACTACAGAAAATGGGCTAAAAGTGTAAAAAACCGAACTTCTCCTTTAATATTGTATATTTTCCATGGGCCCTGTGCGGCGTTCTCTAGGGGTCAAAGGTCAAGTGCTGTGCGGCTTTCTGTCCGTTTAATGCTCAGCTTTGTCCCCAGAATGGATCTCCATGGGCCCGGTCCCTGGTTGTGGACCATGGGCCCGGTCCAGGGGCCCCGCAGGTGGATGTGTGGAGGTCAGACGGTGTGCTCAGCCCGTCTGCAGGCGCGCCTGCGGTGCTCTGTCTCTGGGGAGAGGATCTCCATGGGCCCTGTCCCTGGTTCTGGACCATGGGCCCGGTCCATGGGCCTGTGGCGGGCCTGGGGTGCTCTGTCTCTGGGGAGAGGATCTCCATGGGCCTGTGGCGGGCCTGGGGTGCTCTGTCTCTGGGGAGAGGATCTCCATGGGCCTGGTCCCTGGTTCTGGAGCCTGGTTCTGGACCATGGGCCCAGTCCCTGGGCCCAGGCCCTGGTTCTGGAGCCAGGCCCTGCCGATTAAAGTCCCCTGTGATGTCGAGTTCTGTCCTATTAATATTGTATATTTTCCATGGGCCCTGTGCGGCGTTCTCCAGGGGTCAAAGGTCAAGTGCTGTGCGGCTTTCTGTCCGTTTAATGCTCGGTTCTGTCCCCCGAATGGATCTCCATGGGCCCGGACCCTGGTTCTGGACCATGGGCCCGGTCCAGGGGCCCCACAGGTGGATGTGTGGAGGTCAGACTGTGCGCTCATCCTGTGGCGGGCCCACAGTGCTCCGCCTCTGGGGAGAGGATCTCCATGGGCCCAGTCCCTGGTTCTGGAGCCTGGTTCTGGACCACTGTCCCCTGGTGTCGACACCTGTCTCTGGGGTGTGCACTGGTTCTGAACCGGGCCCCATTGTTCTGGAGGCCTGTGGAGAACCAGGACGGTCCAGGGCCCGCTTCATGGGCCTCCTGGTTCTGGACCCTCGTTCTGGCTAAGCAGGCCCTGCCGATTACTGTCCCCTGGTGTCGACACCTGTCCCTGGGGTGTGCACTGGTTCTGAACCGAGCCCCATGGTTTTGGAGGCCTGTGGAGAACCAGGGCGGACCAGGGCCTGCTTCATGGGCCTCCCTGGTTCTGGAGGTGTTGAACCGGGTCTGCTGAGTCTTGTCCCCTGATGTTGACACCTGTCCCTGGGGTGAGGGGCTGCACTGGGTGGCCTTGCCCCTGGTAAGGTGGTAAAACTTGGAAAAAAAAATCCAAAAAATGGTTAAAAGTTTAAAAATATGCGCTTTAACATGCTGACTGCTGTCCCAGTGATTCAATCTGGCCAGATTTCCATTCATTGTTGCTGTTGGGTCGCTGTGAACCAGGTAAGTTTGTAAAATTTAGAAAAAAAAGTTATTTTACGCCGTTATCGGAGCGTTTGGCGAGGGGTGGGGTGGGACAAATGGGACCCAAGAGGGCCAGATGTGAGTATTAAGTACTTTTACGGCGTTATCGGAGCGTTTGACAAGGGGTGTGGTGGGACATATGGGATCACTATTGGTTAGAGTTAGGGTTAGGACATGTCCAGTTGTTCAGAATACTCCTGTGTCCATCAGTTAGTGCCTCTTGGTGACCGTGCCCCTGGTAAGGCAAAGTTTTCGTTTGGACCATTCAAAATACGCCGGGTTGGCACGTTCTTTCATCCCTAGACATGTCCAATGGTTCGGAGTACCCCTGTGTCCATCAGTTAGGGCCTCCGCGTGTCCGTGCCCCTGGTAAGGCAAAGTTTTCGTTTGGCCCATTGAAAATGCGCTGGTTTGGTACATTCTTTCATCCCTAGAC